ATCGTAGGAGGTTCTTCACGTCAAGAAGCGTACTCTCGTCTGGAACTGGTACTACAGCGTCTAAGTGACTATGGGGTCAAGGTTAATGAATCCAAATGTAATTTTTTACAGTCCCAGGTGGAGTATTTGGGTTACCGCCTGTCAGCGGAAGGAATTAGCCCGCAAGTGGGTATTCTTGATGCCATCCGGAATGCACCGGAGCCTACTAACAAAGATGAGCTGCGTGCCTACATAGGCCTAATAAATTATTATGGCCGTTTCATACCTAATCTGTCTGCCAAGTTGAGTTGCTTTTATGATTTGATTAAGAAAGATGTGTCCTGGAAATGGACTAAACAATGTTCTGATGTTTTTCAGTTGAGTAAAACTTGGGTATGTGATTCGCACATACTGGTTCACTATGATGTTAATAAGCCGTTAGTGCTAACTTGTGACGCAAGCCCTAGAGGAGTTGGGGCTGTTTTGTCTCATATTATCGATGGTGAGGAAAGGCCTATTGCCTTTGCCTCCAAGTCTTTGAGTTCTAGTGAGAAAAATTATTCTCAATTACACCGAGAAGCTCTTGCATTGGTTTTTGGTGCAAAAAAGTTCCACAAATATATTTATGGCAGGATGAATGTTATTTTGCAGACAGACCATCAACCATTAACAGCCATATTTGGTTCTAAGAAAGGAATACCTAGTCTTGCCGCAGCACGGTTGCAACGATGGGCATTGATATTATCAACCTACAACTTTGAAGTTCGATATCGAAAAGGATCTGAGGTATCACATGCGGATGCATTGTCAAGATTACCCCTACCCATGGACGAATCCCTGGAATTGGAAGCTAACTGTGTCGCCCATGTGGAGGAATGCTTGGAGGTATTCAACTGCCAATTGGTGAGTGAAAATCCACTTACTTCTGTAGATGTAGCAAGATGTACTGGCAGAGATCCACTTTTATCTAGAGTCCGTGATTTTTTGTGGCATGGCTGGAGAGATGTAAAAGACCCTAAGTTGACTCCTTATTTAAAGAGGAAGGATGAGTTGTCCATTGAGGCTAATTGTGTATTATGGGGTTCTCGAGTTGTAATTCCTGATAAACTTAGAGACAATGTGCTTCGGTTGTTACATGACCAACATCCTGGTATTGTAAGAATGAAAATGCTCGCAAGAAGCTACGTTTGGTGGCCTGGTCTTGAACCAGCGATTGAGAGTATGGTTAGATCATGTCATATCTGTCAGAGTTCTCGGAACTCGTCTGTGAAGGTTCCATTGCAGCAGTGGCCTAAGTCCACAAGGAGGTGGCAGCGTGTACATATTGACTTTGCTGAGGAGCCTACTTCTAGACAACAAATGCTTGTACTAGTAGATACTTATTCTCGGTGGATCGAGGTATTTTTGATGAATTCTACTACCACTTCCAGTATAGTTTCCCGTCTTCAAACCCTGTTTGCTTCTTATGGGTTACCTGAAGAGCTAGTTTCTGATAACCAAGCTACCTTTACTAGTTCCGAATTTAGAGAGTTTTTGGCTAAGAATGAAGTTAAATTTACGTTAACACCGCCCTACCATCCTGCTTCCAATGGTTCTGCTGAGCGCAGTGTTCAAATTGTCAAGAAAAATCTACTTCGACAAGTTTTGGGAGAGAGTCCCTCAGGTTCCATTACATTACAGCACAAGTTGGACAATTTCTTGATTTCGTATCGTAACACCCCTTGCTCTGTAACGGGGCTCACACCAGCTGAGATGTTCCTGAATTGGAAGCCTAGGACGAAGTTAACCTTGCTCAAGCCTAACTTGCAAGAGACGATACATCGACAGATGGATCGACAGAAGAAGTATGCGGATAGGAGTAGAGGAAAGTTCCGAAGTTTTGAGGAAGGAGAATTGGTATTGGTTCGAACAGTAAGGAATGAGAAGGTATCTTGGGTGCCAGGGAAGATTTTACAAAAGCGTAGCCCAGTAACTTACATTGTGTCATCACTGGGGCGCACACGGGTTTGTCATGCTGACCATCTACGAGCCCGGGAATATTCCCTTCAAGAAGAGGAGCCTACTGTTCCACCCATCCGGAGTTGCTTCACACCAGCAACACCCAATAAGAGGAATGCAAATGAAACACCAGCCTCTCCGGAGAAACGATCGCCGCAGAAGAAGCCCACGTCAGACGAACCACCAGTGGCAGAACTTCAGCCTCCCGTTGTGCAGTGCAGTCCGCCACAACTAAGACGTTCTGACAGGACTGTGAGGAAGCCTGCGCGGCTTGATTTGTAGGCCTTAGCAAAAGTAAGGCACAGAAGAATTTTTAGTTTATTTTATGAAGCAATTGATTTTTGAGTTACAATAATTATTAGGCCAAGTTATATTAAAGTACTGTTGAGTTGGCCTATCAGGTTTTAAATTTTATTTGGTCAAGTGAAGAATCACCAATTTTTAGTTGTGGCGAGTGTGATATATTTTAAAGTTATATGCACTAGCAGTAAGTAGTGCTATTTAGTTTGTGTGTGTGGCTGCACTGCCAACGCAATGACGTCACAGCTGATGTCTCTGAACCGGCCTCAGTTCTACGTTATCTACAGGTTAGTCGTGACGTATTTCTTATGTGCGGTTCTTTTAACTCTGTAGTGATAGAACATAATAATAGCCTTGGCTGCTCGACTGTTGTACAAGTGAAGGGCATATATCAATTATTTATTAAATTATATGTAAAAAGTGAAGTAAAATCAATAATTTATTAATTATTTCCAACAAGTTTAATCAGACAATTTGTATAAGTTTTGAAACAAAAGGTATTATTAATAGGTAAAGTATAGTAAACGAATTTACTATTTCGTATAACGAGGTATACGACGAATTTTAAATCGGGAACTGTAAGTAGTTTAACCTGGGGGAGAAGTCATTTATTGTTATTATCTTGCACGAACACTTATTGCAGGATATTCTCCCTATTATTCTTTGCAAATTACAGTAAACTATAAACAAAGCTGCAGAGGAAGCAATTAGTCTAAACGTGAAGCAATAACAAGCGCTCAGAGCATCATTTTTAATAACTTAGCCTTAAAAATGAAATACTTCCAAGAACTATCAAATTCTGTTTGAATGTATCAAAATGCTTAATTTGTTAATTACATGGGTACAGCTACCTAACTATTTACATGCATATTGATTATTGAAAACTTTTAAATAAAAACCTTCAGCATAGTTTGTACGGGATGGATAGTACTACGTAGGCCTACACTGCTCCTAGCCGTTGTTTGTTTAAACTACACATACAGATATGGATTTTTATAGATAAGAATTTTTTAGATTGTTTTTATACGAATACTCAAACAATAAATAAAATATTTTCAAGAAAAACCTTATGGAAATGACATTTCTTTGAACTTTCGGACTTATTAAATTCTACCTGTCTTAAAATATTTTTACGTGAAAATGTTATTGCATTTAAAATATAAGTTACTCAAAAGAAAAATACAGTACCTTTGTTTATGAAGCCATATAATTCTGAAGGCTAGAAAGTTTAGATTTTAATATGCGGGTAACCATTAACATCGTATGATTGGAAATATTCAAGAAAATATTGGAACGTACATTTTTCATTAAACGACTTCTAACCCAGAATCAAGTAGTTGTGTGCTACTAGATAGCATCCGAATCCGAATTAGTTTTTAGTTTTCAAAACAGTACAGTATAGCAAAAGTGTAGTTTTTTACTCCATTATAGGCCTAAGTGATTATATAAATTATCATAACACCAAAATAAAATCAATTTACGGACCGACATAATTTCAAGAATACGAATACTCCAGAGATTCATTTTTAACGTTGTATATTTACCTCAGTTAGCTAGCTAGAATAAGGTAGCGCAAGTCAGAAATTTTATTGGACTCTGAATTCATGGTTTTAATAGTAAGTAATTAACACATACCTGTACATAAGCTTACGATTATACATAAATAAAATAATTAGGACTAACAGGTTATACGATTTAATAAAAAAAGTAAAAATCGAACAAAGAAAGTTTAACAGAACAACACAAAACATTTTACAACCTAAAGATAGTACCTTTGGGAACCATTTTGTTTAACTTTTACGTTTGTCTTTCTGATTGCGGCCTTAGAACATTGAAACAGGTGTTAGATTCGAAAAGTAACAATTGTTGACAACTCTTTTCCAGTGGTGAATGAGACAGGTTTGACTTGTGTTTGTAAAATGTTAAAAGTATATTTCAAGTAGACAAAATTGGTAAACATATTAACGACTAACTAAAAGGTCGTCCAGTGGTACAAAACTCGACCAAATTTGTAATGTAAATACGTTTTATCATAAGTTGTAAATAAAACATATGATTAGAATTTCTTCTATTTTTACTTTCTCCCCCTATACCGTAGTATATGGAGAAAGTATTGTTTTCGTCAAAATTTTCGAGTTTGAGTTTTGAGTGGATATATTCGTTTTGGGTCCCCCTGGACCCAAAAAAGTGGTTTTCGAAGTGATGTCTGTGTGTGTGTGGGTGTGTGTGTGTGCGTGTGTGTGTGTGTGTGTGCGTACGTTTGCATATCATTGTCGGGACACACGCCTGCATACGGCCAGACAGTCGGGCTAACACACGATTGTCGGGACTCACACACGTCCCGACAAGCAAAGAGTGCCTGAAACGTTGTAATCGGGTCCCAGAAACACTTAGAAAATTTTGTTTTAAATGTCCCGACAGTCAATGTACGCCCCCGGAGTCAGTGATGCCTATCTTAGTCGGGCCCTATATCTCACACGTGCGGTGGCGCGGCAGTGGTGAGTTGCGGAACTAATGAAATGTGTGGTCGTCCCGACATTCACTTCAAATGCAGGTTTCATGTTAAAGTGTTGCAATGTTGCCAATTCGAAGTTCCAACAGTTTTTTTCATCATCTACTAGTGCTGACTGCTGGTGATCGTGTCGTGTAGTGGAGTGGAGCGGAAAAGGACGGAGGCTAGGCGACGAAAACGAAAGTGAAAAGTGTAATGTAAAGTGACTGGACTGAGGACTGGTAGTGGTAGCATTTTTCCATTTTGATTTAGATTTTAGCATTGCAGACAAGACGAAGCGATGGACATTGGACATGGGTGATGAAACTTCATAAACTTTGGTGAGTATTTCTGTAGATTGTTTGTTTAATTCAAGAATTAGCTACAAGACTTAAGATTGATATTCTTGATTAGGCTGAATATTTCTTTGGGCGTTTATCATATGTTAAAATGTTCACCAGTATCTTAGCCAAAACTTATCATTTAACTTAAGCGCCTAGCCCAGGTCTATGTACGGTTGTAAAGGGCCCTCTGTAAGTTAGGTTAAGATGACTAAAAGGTAGGCCTTAGCACGCCTAACCTTCATAACAAACTTAGCCAATTTAGGGAACTGCTACTGACAAATATTAAATTAATTTACAAGTGATTAATTTTAGTAAGTTAAGTAGGCTCCTAGCATTAAACTTTAACTTAAAGACTTCCTTTAAGTATCTTAAGCCTAGGCCCAAATCAGTCACGTAATTTTTATAACCCACAGCCTAGGCCTAGGTCTAAGCTAATTCCTAACTAACTTATATACAGTAAGTTAAACTTAGGCCTAACTTACCCTTGGCAAATGAATTTAGGCTAGGTTTATGTAGGCCTATCAGTTGATGGTTAATTCCCATCAGGCCATGTAGTTTATGTTCAGTTGAACTGTAAATTTGTTTGTAAATGACCTGCTTGCAGTATTTATTCCAAGAATAGGCTAGGCTATCGGCGTACAGTTGGTGGACGAGTAGCCACAGCGTAGTTGTTATTAAGTAACTTATAAGTTAATACTGAAATCAAATACCGGTAGGCTATAGGATAAACTAAATGACACATCCAATCCGGATCTGCTTGTCATAGTGAATATACTTAGACTTAAAAAATAACTTCTTGATCAGCATTGTACGTGTTATTAAATTTACGGAAAGTACCTAAATAAAAGAAACGTCTTATAACATTTAAAACATATATTTACGCTTATACTGTTACTCACAAGACGGTATACAAAAAAGATGGTTAGTGGTGATCGATTTCGATTGGACACTCCAATTATTACAGACCCAATAACTTAAGCGAATGACAAGAATCTTGAATGGCGTCCCTACTTGTACCCTATTGGCTACTGGAAGCACCGGGCAATACATTTTTTATAAGTAGGCCTACAACTGGAATAAAAATTTACTTGTTCATTTAACTTATCAACTTAGGCCTATTTCTATTTTTACATTTTTCCTACAGAGAAAGTGTTAACTTACTGGTGTCTGTGTCTGTTTTTTACAGTTCTTCCCAAGCTTTCATTAGCCTACATATCCTTTCTTACAATTCTTCAAAATACATAGACTAAGTTATCCTCAATTTTTCCTATTGAGTGGCCATTTTGTAACAGGTGTTGTGCGACATATCTTTCTGGTTTGTTGTTCCTCCACGCAGATAACTTATGTGGTTTTTGAAGCGGTTAACGAAGTTCACAGTCTGACCAGTGTAGAAGCTAGCACAATCGTTACAATTGATTCTATATAGGCTATGCCCAAAGCGTCGAATTTGTTAATTTGGTCTTATATTTTTTCTGATGATGGTTGGAGTGTCCAATCGAAATCGATCACCACTTACCATCTTTTTTGTATATTTACCGTCTTGTGAGTACCTAAACAGTATACCGGTGAGCGTAAATATATGTTTTAAGTGTTATAAGACGTTTCTTTTATTTACTTTCCGTAAATTTAATAACACGTAGGCCTACAATGCTGATCAAGAAGTTATTTTTTAAGTCTATATTCACTATGACAAGCAGATACGGATTGGATGTGTCATTTAGTTTATCCTATGCCGGTACCGGTATTTGATTTCAGTATTATAAGTTACTTAATAACAACTACGCTGTGGCTACTCGTCCATTAACCGTACGCCGATGCGCCGTCGGTCAATGACGTCACCTGATGAATGAAGTCATGGAAGCCTGAGTTATTTGGCGTACACATGTATTTGATCATTTTAACCCTATAAATTATTGAACTAAACTGTTAGCCTATAACCTAACGTAAAAACTAGCTTTATGAAGGTTTACTAGGCTTAGGCCTAATCGAAAAATAGTTCTGTTCATAAAATTAAATAATAAATGCCTCAAATTCTAAGAAAATATGCACAGTTAAAAAGTAGCAATCACATAATAAGTTAAATCTAATATGGCAAAAAGATAATAATGTGGTCTGTGGGATTTGATCAGGTTACCTCTTAGACATCTGCCAAGTACTCTATCCACTACACCACGAATACCGATAGCTGCACTTTGTATCGTTGCGGTAATGATGTGTCAACAGGAGTCCGTGATGTCATTGACAGACGAAAACAATTTTTTAAAGATAAAGGATGAGGGTAAAAGAAAGACTTTGAATTTGACGGTGGATAATCAGCCGCAAAAGATTCCATGACATCATTAAGATGCTGAGCGGATTTCTCCTATAGCCTAGAGAAGAAGCTATTAGGCTAAGTTAGATACTGTAGGGGCACGTTAAGACCTAGACCTACATCTCAACCTGTTATACTTTCTCATTTTGAGGCTTTCTCATATCCCTAGAGGCCAAAAACACCATTAGCTCAAATTTTGATACATAGGCTATTTGTGCGTTTGTTTACGCGATAAGTCGAAAGAACACCGTCCTGTTTCGATAAAATTTGGTAGGCCTATAGTTATAAATGTATAACCTGCATTTTTTTGAGTTCACGAACCAGGATGATCTTACTATGAGAATTGGTGTTCATGGAGTTTTGGTAAATGTTGAACATGCAATAAGTTAACTTAAAGGATAAAATCCTCATAATTATAGATGACCTAAACGTTTTTTAACTAACTTATTACAGTACCAACCTCCTTAACTAATTTTTGAGCGTGAGAGACCAGTTTCATGTTATTGTAATTACGGTACCGGTATCCAAAAAATATGTTTGGAAGAAATAAGAGAACAGTATAACCAGTACCAGACTACTATATTTGTAAATTGATTTTGATCAACAATTTGTTCAAATAAAATTAGCCTATGTTTAATTTGAAATAGAATTACCGGTATGTTTAGGCTACCTGAGGATAAGGATCTATTTAAGTAGTTGGCTACAAAAAATTTGGTTTTAAAAAGTTTTATTTTCCTGTTTGAAGCCATAGCCTACTGATTGATTAATCTATTTTATTTGAAAAATTATGAATTAAAATGTTTGCCATTGTGAAACGATTTTAGAAGCTAGGCTTTTCTTCATATGGCTTTCAAAAATATTCATTAAATTTTGAACACCATTTTATTTCTTGGAAGTGCTAGTTATTTAAGCTATTTTGTTTACTAAACAGCAGTGTTTATCACTAAGATACGAAGGTAAATTGGTAGGCTAAATAGTCTAGGTATGTGATTCTCACCTATTACTCGCTTCTCACGTCAATATTTACAGTAATTGTTGTCTCTTTATTCTTATATTTTTCTACTGAAATAAGGTCATCTTCATGAAAATATTCACGCAAACACGAGAATTTTTTAAGATGTCCAATCTAAACAAGGAATAGCATGAATGCATTGTAGCCTACCCAGCGGATCACTTGGAATTTGTATACACCCTATGTATCCATAACTTTTGAATAAGCTTACTTAATTTCTCTTTCACCCAGGCACGACACATCTATCTGGCATGCTGTAGCATTGCTGTAGTACGGTAACAAGTTTAATGTCATTAGGTACTAACGATTAATGATACCGTACCTAGTGGAAGCGTGAATAAGTAAGTCGGTACACGACTCCTCCATTCATTGTAATGGTAAGACAATCACATACCAAGACTCAGAATGGTTGCCAGTTCTTGCTCGCCGCGGCCGTGTTCAATTTTGTTTCAGGCTATGCTCAATTTTATGTGGTTCAAAAGTAATCCCAGCTTTTGTAGCTATAGAAATAGTAGGAAATAAATGTAGGCTAGTATGCTCCACTGCTAGCTGCTATTTTCACATGTAACAGTTCGGTATTGATGTAGGCTAAGTAACATTTAATTTGTTACAGGAAAAATGACTTACAAGAGAAACTCCTTTGTAGCAGTCAAGAGTGAAGAAGGTAGGGAATTGTAATTTACCAAAGTAGATTTGTCAGTTACAGTAATATTTATAGATAGGGCTAGGCATATATCATCAATTAAGTTCTGTTCATTTAATTAAAAATGCATTATCACAGACAGATAACGAGTTAAAGGCTAGATTGGCAACATTATAGCTTTGACTATTGATACAACTTCAGAATCCAATAGTCAAATGATAATAGTCTATCTTGGGTGGCTGAAGTTGACTCTGCACTCTGCCTTGTTAGTTTGGGTAGGCCTATATTAGGATCTAGAGGTTGAGTGTCGTCTGAATTGAATGTGTGACGGTTTTAGATTGTTTAAAATAATTTAAAAAATCTGATGTTAAACATTATGTTATCAATGAATAGGGCCTACAGAAGCTACGAAGAAGGTCACAGTCCATGTTATAAATTTAGCCCCTTTAATTCCACTAGGAGCGCTAAAAATGAGCATACACACGCAAATGTAGTTTTTAAACTCGAAAGTCCCTAATTTGATTCTCTGAAACACTTAGCTAGTTGGTATGCTTTGTTCTTACATTAACAATTCAAAAATTGATCCGTCAGAGGATTGCGCCAAGGACAAGCTGGAATCCTGATGTAGTTGAGGAAGCAACCAAAGAATAACGCGATAGGCATATTTCTTGGTCTCTTGATATTCTTTAGTGTTTCGAATGACGGAGCAGCCACTGGTTTTTCTTAACTAAGTACCTGACATGTTGCACTGACAGTAGATCCCATAATTTGTTTTAATAAACTACATTCATACTTAAAATATGCAGTAGGCCTAAGATTTGAAAAAAGTACAAGAATAAATCATTTATTACACTAGGCCTATCTTGTAATTAATATAGGGAATAAGCGACATAAAATAATAAATAATATGGGTTTAAGACTAGATTTTTTAATAGCCTACCTGCAAAATTTGATCATTTAAAACTTTTAAATTATTATTAAACTTAGAATCAAAAAAAATTTTCATCCCAAACAAAGTTTTTATAAAACTCCCCAGTGGCTCTAGGTTTCCCATGTTAACCTTATGAGTACTCATATTTAAATGGAATTAAAGAATTTAGTCAGATGTTTCAACTAAAAAGGTTGGTTCTATGATAGGCTATGCAAAAGCATTAAAATTTATAAGATTTACCAACAGGATGCAGCACTATTATTTTTTTTTTTCATTAATGAAAACAGCTAATTTGAACTAAGCAGCAACAAAAAACTGTGATACACAATAAACTGTGTAAATAAAACTGTGTAAATACAACGGTCTGTCGACCAGGTGACAGGGCGGTCGGGACCATGAACGGGAACGGGTTGTGTGAACAGGGCTTAGAGGTTTTGTTTGATCCCACTATTTGATTTAAATTTTACATTTCAAACATGAAACCTTCACTTATAGACAACATTTTAACATTGTAGTGATGGTTTTATGATCATTAAATGCTAGTTTCAGAATGCAGTACCACAGACAAGGAAACAAAAGTATTTCCTTAGTCAATGACAGTATGTTGTATTTTATGTTATCATCAATCCCATAAGTTAATAGATTCAAACCATGACAAACTATTGGACCTTTTTAATAGACAATGTAGCGTAAATTCTAAGTTGCAGCAAACCGTGCAATAGTTTACTCATTATAATCCTAGTTTTTTTTCACATAGGAAATATATCATCCGAATGAGTCTCCGAATACGAATAAGCCATAGTACAGGGTGATCAATTTAATGAGGCCACTATTGGGATATCGGAAACGGTAAGAATTAGAGACAACTTAACATGGGGGACATTTATTTATTTTTGTGGCAGCTATATATGAATTTAGCTTTTTGAAATTCAGTCGGACCCATTTTTCAATATGGCGACCAACTTTGAAATTTCTTATGGAACACTCTATATTTTATCTTGTTTTCTGATATAACATGTTATTTTAACATTTGTTCGATCAACCCACTCGTTTAGGAGTTACTGCCTATGAATAAATGACTTCTGGTGTACATTTAATATTATGTAGCTCCTTAACGAATAAGTTTAGAGCAAAAATGTGATATGTAAATAAGTCTTAAAATTGCATCTTCAATCCAAAAAGACCATAAAATACACAGTTATTAACTTTTTAAGTTTGCTCTCTTTTTGAAAAATGACCGCCATTTTCGAACTAATGGATTTTTAACCTATTTTATAGTCTTTTTGGAATGTAGATGCAAATTTAAGACTTATTTACTCTTTACTCTTTAGACTACTTTTAAGACTTCCCAATGGTGGCCTTTTTGAGTACTATATACAACCCTGTATATTGGAAATTAATGTTAACCATTTTGTACACATTTACACTATTGTTCTACAAAAAAATCATAATTAGATAGGCAAAGTGTAAGAAAATATATAAAGATTAAAAATAAAATTAAAATATTTAAAACAATTTGTTAAAAGTTAACTTTATTTACAAATTCCAAAATTAATCCAGACACCAAATGACACCACTATTAGTTCAATTGATTACCTGTTGAAAAATCACAAGTTTTTTACTTGTATAAGTATTAATAACATAGAGAAAAAAATTGTTCGATCAATATAACACATTTAAGATAATACATAGGAAATATTTTAATACACCTTATAAATTGCAATAAAAATAGCCTAACTAAAAGAAGGGGTGTTAAATTGGGTGTATGAAAAAACTCTCCTTGTATTTATGGGGTTTTTCTTACAAACTGTCTTTTTTTTTAATTAAATAGAAATTGAATGGGTATGGAATTGTATAAAAAGCTGCCTAAACCACTATACAACCATCCCTCAATAACGGCTATAGTTTTAGGTCAAATATTGGTTATAATTATTTTATTACACCCTTTAAGATTCAAGTCACGACTTTTTGTTATTTCGTATTGTTCCAGGTGGATTTTATCTATGCCAAGTACTGGAAAACATCCCAGAAAAAACAAAAAGAAATAAAAAATACAAAGTTAAATGGTTAGAAGAAGTAGGAAAAAATACATATAAAATTTCTTATGATGACTTTATAGAACAACAATGTATCATAGATGTAGCAATTTTAATAAACAGAAAATCCCACTTGATTCTCAGCAAGTCTGAGCTTCTTAGGTTAGAAGGTCTGGTCAAAAGTTCCAACACTATAAATGTAGAACAATTTTGGAGTGAAGACGAACTAAATGATAAAGAACGGACAGACTTGAAGCAGCATGAAACACTAGAGGTAGAGGCAGACCCTGATGAAACGTTGAGTTTGAGTATTACTAAAAATTTTGAGAATGAAGATGAACTAAATGGTAGAGAACAGGCAGACTTAAAGCAGCATGAAACACTAGAGGTAGAGGCAGACCCTGATGAAACGTTGAGTTTGAGTATTACTAAAAATTTAGAGAATGAAGATGAACTAAATGGTAGAGAACAGGCAGACTTAAAGCAGCATGAAACACTAGAGGTAGAGGCAGACCCTGATGAAACGTTGAGTTTGAGTATTACCAAAAATTTAGAGAATGAAGATGAACTAAATGGTAGAGAACAGGCAGACTTGAAGCAGCATGAAACACTAGATGTAGAGGCAGACCTTGATGAAACTTTGAGTTTGAGTAATACTAAAAATTTAGAGATTGAAGATGAACTAAATGGTAGAGAACAGGCAGACTTGAAGCAGCATGAAACACTAGAGGTAGAGGCAGACCCTGATGAAACGTTGAGTTTGAGTATTACCAAAAATTTAGAGAATGAAGATGAACTAAATGGTAGAGAACAGGCAGACTTGAAGCAGCATGAAACACTAGATGTAGAGGCAGACCTTGATGAAACTTTGAGTTTGAGTAATACTAAAAATTTAGAGATTGAAGATGAACTAAATGGTAGAGAACAGGCAGACTTGAAGCAGCATGAAACACTAGAGGTAGAGGCAGACCCTGATGAAACGTTGAGTTTGAGTATTACCAAAAATTTAGAGAATGAAGATGAACTAAATGGTAGAGAACAGGCAGACTTGAAGCAGCATGAAACACTAGATGTAGAGGCAAACCTTGATGAAACTTTGAGTTTGAGTAATACTAAGAATTTAGAGAATGAAGATGAACTAAATGATAGAGAACAGGCAGACTTGAAGCAGCATGAAACACTAGAGGTAGAGGCAGACCCTGATGAAACTTTGAGTTTGAGTATTACTAAAAATGTACAGAACGAAGATAAAGTAAATGATAGGGAACAGACAGACTTAAAGCCGTGTGAAACACAAGAGGTGGAGGCACAAATGAGTAGTACTAAAAATTTAGAGAATGATGATGAAGTAAATGATGGGGAACAGGCAGACTTAAAGCCGTGTGAAACACAAGAGGTGGAGGCACAAACGAGTACTACTAAAAATTTAGAGAATGATGATGAAGTAAATGATGGAGAACAGACAGACTTAAAGCGGCGTAAAACGCTAAAGGTGGCCACACAAAGTAGTGATGAAATGATGAGTATTAGTAATGATTCAGAGTATCAGCCAGATTTGGAAGAAGAAAGTTCTCCATCCTGTATTTCTGAATTGTCATCATCAGGAGAAGACAGTTTACCAGATAAAGAAATGAATAAAACAATACAAAAGAGGAAATACAAAGTACCAAAACAAAGGGGGTGTGAAATACCAACTAAACGTGGTAGTAAAATTGCAGTACCAGCTTCTAAAGCAAGCGTGAGCACACGAAAAAAAAAATTAGAGAATGAAAATGAAGTAAATGATGGAGAACAGACAAACTTAAAGCGACGTAAAACGCTAGAGGTGGACACACAAAGTAGTGATGAAATGATGAGTATTAGTAATGATTCAGAGTATCAGCCGGATTTGGAAGAAGAAAGTTCTCCATCCTGTATTTCTGAATTGTCATCATCAGGAGAAGACAGTTTACCAGATAAAGAAATTAATAAAACAATACAAAAGAGGAAATACAAAGTAACAAAACAAAGGGTGTGTGAAATACCAACTAAACGTGGTACTGATATTAAAGTACCAATTTCTAAAGCAAGCGTGAGCACAGGAAAAAAAAAAGTATACGATCAAATACATTGTTGCTTTTTTTGTGACAAACTTATTTGTAAGATGTCACGGCATCTTGAGCATTGCCATGAAAATGAAATGGAAGTTGCTAAGATTTTGGCGTTGCCAAAAAGTTCTTTATTGCGGAGAAATGCCTTTAGTGAACTTACTAGATTGGGGGACTATCACTATAATTGTGATATTTTGTCTAAACGAACAGGAGAATTGATACTCATTAGAAGACCATCAGCCATTGAAAAAGAAGGAAAAACATATTCAGACTATTTACCATGTCCCCACTGTCTGGGGTTTTTATTAAAAAAACACTTATGGAGTCATGTGAAATTCACCTGCCACGCTGCAAAGAAAGATGATGACCATGCAAACATTGATAAAAAGAAAGGCTTTCTTTCTCTAAGTAAAGCACTTGTCGGGCATTTCTTGACCCCCGAATCCTCACAAAGTTTTTATGACAACATCATATCGACCTTTAAAAAAAAAGATGGAATAAAGGAAATTTGTTCCGAAGACCCTCTTATAATTCGTTTGGGAATGCTGATGTTTGAAAAATTTAATAATACAAAGAATGACCTCATAAGGCAAAACATGCGCAGACTTGGGCGTTTGGTTAGCGAGTTCAGGAAGATAGATTCAAAGTTTGCAGGTGCCATGGTTATTGATTGCCTTCAACCAAATAATTTTGATTCCTTAATCCAAGCAGTAAAAAACCTGGCTATTGTAGAATTAAATCATTCTGATCGACCAACTATGAAGATACCTTCTTTAGCCTTAAAGCTTGGGCACGCCCTACGAAAATGTGCTGCACTTCAAAGAGGAACGTTTTTGAAAGAAGGAAATTTAAAAGGAGAACGAACCATGAAATCTTTTTTAAGTATCATGGACATTGAATGGGAAAACAGAATTTCCTCTACTGCCTTAATTACCTTCAAAAGGACAAAGCAAAGGAAAGAAGACTTGCTACCTCTAACATCAGATTTGATGAAAATTAATTCTTACTTAGATGGCAAAATTGATGTATATATTGGTTTGTTAAAAGACTGTCCATCGAACGCAAGTTTATGGCAAAATCTAGCAAAAGCAACTTTGGCTAGAATCATGATGTTTAATAAAAAAAGGTCAGGAGAAGTCTCCAAAATGAAAATTAAAGATTTTACTGAAAGGAGAAATTATCATGGTGAAAACTCTGAAGAAATTATAAAGTCATTTTCGGATCTGGAGAAAAAGCTTATGAATGTCATGACACTGATTTACATTGTTGGCAAACGAGAGAATGATGTGCCAGTTTTACTAACTAGTGAAATGAAGAAAGCCATTGATGTTTTGTTGTTATATAGAAAAAACATATCAGTCATTAAATCTAGCAATGAATATATGTTTCCTAATTTGAATTCAGATAGACATCAAAGAGGGCACGATGTAATAAGGGCTTTTTGCCAGGAATTGGACCTACAGAAACCTCACTTAATTACCAGCACCAAATTAAGAAAATATATTGCCACAGTTACCCAAGTAGTAAACTTGACAGAAAATGAAAGTGATTGGCTGGCCCGACATTTAGGTCACAACATCAGAGTTCACAGAGAGTATTATAGGATGCAAGAGTCAGCTGTTGAACTGACCAAAGTCAGTAGACTGCTTTTAGCCGTTGACGAAGGAAGAATAAGTGAATTTAGTGGGCAGAAACTTGACGAAATCAACCTTGAAGGTAATTCCCAATCTCAACTTTTTATAATTAATTTCTTACCAGTCGTTAGGGGCACAAATTATTTTTCACCACACTATGATGTTTTTGGCTGTATTACATACGTTAATTGGTGGCTGAAAGTTACGTTTTGCTGGCCATGCCAGCTGTCGCCAATTTGGGGACCGAGCAGGTTTTTACAGGCCGGGGCCGCAAAATCAGCTGTCCGCTTACTTACTTAGAACATGAATGCGTTTTAAATACACAATCAAAATCCATACCATTGCAATATAGAATTGTGTTATTGTCACCGTTGCCTAGCAACTATTTCTTTATATTTTTGCTGATTCCTCAAATTATTTCTAAAGTTGTAGTTGTGTTGACGATCAGTGTGCATTATTATAGTGGTGAATAGTGGTAATAGGGTATAGTGTGGTGAAAAATAGCGTTCGTACCACGGACCGAAATGGTTTTGCAGCTCTCGATCGTTTAAGTTCTCGACTTCGTCTCGAACTTAAAAACTATCTCGAGCCGGCAAAACCTCATTTTCGGCCCTTGGTACGAAATATATGTTCTGTCATTTTTACATTAGCAGATATACAGGGTGCGGCAAAAAAAAACCGATCTATTTTATGCAGTGCACTGTTCAGCAACAGGTCGTCTGAGACTGATGGGGTTGGGCTCGTTGGAAAGCCTACAGGATGCCATTATCTGTAGTCATGGAGCAGTGGCCACTTGAGCAACGGGAGTTTTTTATAATCGTTTAAAAAAAGTAATGATTTAGTCAACCTAATTTAAAGAATGCACGGAACTGCCGCTGAGTTGCAATGACTGAATCAATACTTTTTCAATTCGACTCGATAAGAAACGCACATTGCTCTGGTGACCACTGCTCTATGACCACAGATAATGGCATCAAGTAGGCTTTCCAACAAGCCCAACCCCATCACACTCAGACTACCTGTTGCTGAACGCGCTGCATAAAATATATTGGTTTTTTTGCCGCACCCGGTAATTCTATCACTGTGCCTATGGATTTTGCATGGAAAATAAACGCATTCCTACATCTAATTCACATATTTTAAGTAATTAATAATAGATTTCAAAATTAAATTTAAGTTTTTCAGTAGTATTTTTATAAAATTGTAATTGCTATAAAAGGAACTCATTGCTATATTAACTCATTAAATGAAGTTTATTTGTGTTCAAAGGAAGGAAACTTGCTGCCTTTTTTGGTGATCAGCAAAATGTCATTGTAAATAAAAACTTGTAAGAATAGATATAGTGAAACTCAGAATAACCAATGCTTCAATTTTTAGATCTTCCAAATCTTCCTTCAGAAGCAGAAAGTGAGGAAGATATTGACCAACCACTAACCGGCCCAAATGAAAGTAAGATATGAATTCTTCTATGTATTACTGAATCTTATAGAAGTTAAGCTATTACAGTAGTACTTATGGTAATACACGGGAACAAATTGTTTGTTTTGATGTCTACAGAAGCAAAAAAGGTTAAAAGTAAAAAAAAACTCATTGCTATTGAATAAGTTTATTTGTGTTAACATGAAGGTAACTTGTGGCTCTTTTTGGTCGTCAGCAGTGTTATTGTAAATTAAATTTTGTAAGATTACATATAGTAAAACTGAAACTTGTCCATGCTTCATTTTCAGATTTCCCAAACCTTTCTTCTGAAGGCGAAAGTGAAGACATTGACAAAGCAAGTACCGTCCAGAAAAAACGTAAGATATCAATAATTCTAGGAATTTTTTTATTTCATTAGATTTTTGTATTAAAATTACATTTTTTTAGAGCCAAATCTTTAACGCTAAATGTCTTAAGCGACTCTGACGTTATCTGATCTCCGAGTCAATGAGTAATTTTGAAAATTCCCTTGTTTTTTCTGAATTTAGCGTAAATCACTTTCATACTAAAACCATTGTAATCTGCACATTGTAAGCTTCAATTTTGTTATATAATATCGCATATCTGGGACTATTTACAGTTGCAGCACAATTATTCCAATTCACATTTTTTGGAAATTAAAATTGTAAAAAATTTGTAAACCTACGCCCAGTTTTAGTAATGTACATTTTTAGACATTTTTTCACAGATTTTGATTGTTTTTCATATCAGAGGCCAAAGTTGTTAGCCTATACTGTAGTATTTTTTGAACAGTTTGCTCACTTTAAGTACGGTAATTAATAGAAGTTATGCATTACAGGCTCAAAACGCAAATCCTTGGAAAACAGACATAAACCGAATTTGAAAACTTCTACAAAAACAAATCCTAGCAACAACAAAGCCACAAGGAATGTGTGGCCGGACAACGAACGGTGCCTGTTACTGCAGCACTTCAAACAAGTCATCAAGAGAGGTAATGTGCCAGGCAAACTCGAATGTCAGGAATTTATAGACGCAAATAAGAGCAATCCCTTTTTTCACTCTATTCAGTGGAAAGATGTTAAATATAGGGTATATAACCAAATACAAAAAGTGAAACCAAAAAGGGTATAATGTAGACCTACATTGTTAAAAAAAACTAGGGTGTTATTGTTTTCAAATTTTTAATGAAATGTTACGGTATTAATAACTGTAAATAATGTTCAGAAACATTCCATGAAGAAATTTTTATTAGAAGCCTACATTAGCTATATCCACACTTGTGCATTTTAAATTCAACATTCAAATCAACATGCATCAACGCAAGCATGCCCCTTGAGGCATGCATTTTAGCTGTATACACTCATACATCACTTTCCTCACTTTCTTGATACCTTTTCTTAATTAGATGAAGACAACGCTAAACTGATAGTAGGGATGGTACGGAATATTTAGTGTTAGTAAAAGTTCCAAAACGTAAGAAATCATTGTGGACAATGCCAATAAAGAAAAACTCAACATTTTCATATTTTATTTATTTATTAATTAAATTGTAATGTCGATTATTTTAATTTAATTTTTATTACTCCGTATGCCCTCTAACATAAATTTGAGCGATAATCTTCCATGCGTTTTGAGGTTTCTTAGTTATTCAATATGCTTTAAACAACTACAACACGGAATACTTGTCAAATATGTAAAGCCGTTGTAAGTTGAAACGCTAAAAAATCAAGGGCTAGTGGATTGTCCATAGGGCTGTGCGCTATGGAATAGAACTCCTTCCGGCTCATTTCGGGCATCCCTTGACTCATGCATCAATTGAGTCCCTCTGCCTCAGGGCATGCATTAAAAGACATGCGCACGAGTGTGGACATGGCTAATAGGATTAAATTTTAATCGGTTCTTGGTCACCATGACTGAATGTGCCTGATGGTTCCATCGTGCCTTAGTTTGAGCCTAATCTTGTTCTTGCTAAGTTGCAATTTATGTTTTTACTGTATTATGGAATATTCTACCAAAAGAAATCAAAGTGACTTTGATAGCGTTAAGAATCTATCAGATAGTGATTTTATGATTTTTTGGTCATATTATAAAAACTTCATTTATTAAAAAAAAATTAGCTAGTTTTTTACATTTGTATGGCTGAATTTTTTATGGTGAGTTTTTAAATTCTTCCCACACATTTTTTACAACTCACATTATGAAACTTAAGAGTAGTAGGCTACAATTGTTGGCATATGTATTCTATTATAACTTTTTTATCAGATTTATTTTGTTAAATGAGGCTTGTCTAGTCATTAATAGAGTCAACCCCATCTACAGTACCAAAGTTATTAAAATAAGAATTTTTTATTGACTCCTGCCTCATTTATATTACATAAAGTATTTGACTTAACCGTGTTTTGTGTTTATTTGTGAATTTTCTATCAATTTAAACAAAGGAGATAATTGTAGTTTACTTAATAAATAATAATGTAATTACAACTTCAAAATAATGGGGTTGTCCGTTTTGGGGTTGACTGTTTTAACCAACCTTTTTGAGTTATCTGACTTAGGCCCGGTCCGGTCCCATTAATATATTGCATTATAATGTTTACATAGGCCTAGTAATTGTTTTTATCATATTTACATTCTTGTTAAGGAGTCTCTATTCAGGGACAGACTGAAATTTTGTTATACTATCCTCTAGTTATTGTTTGTTATTAAATGTAATTTGTATACTCATATTGTTCTAATGTTTTTGTTGTTGTAGGTGTAAGATATTGTTCCTTGTTTTTTATAAATAGTGCAATATGAATTTTGAAAAGTTCCTTTTTATAGTATACCGTACTCATATTGTACAAATAATCTCGTAGTTAAGGTGAAAGATATTGTTCCTTGTTTTGTACAAATAGTACAATATGAATTTTAAAAAGTTCCTTTTTTTTAGTTTTATGTAACAGTAACAGTATTATTACTCGTGTTGTGTTGAATATGAATTATGAATTTTATAAAGTTCTTTGATTTTGTAGTTAAGTGTGTAACAGAGTGTCACCCATGTTGGGTTAAAGGCTATAGGCCCTAATATGAATTTATAAAATATATATTAAAATCATGCATAAAGCTGTTCTCCTGTTATATTTGAGTATTCCTGTTTAATAAAGTTGAATTGTTTTATGCAATATATGTGTCACCAATGTACTGTTCCTGACTTATGAACTTAGAAATTAAGAACTGATTACATGAACCCTACACAACTCTGCCATTTTCAACCAAATATTAATTATTTGACAAACTAGAACATGTAATGCTACATTTGTAATCACAATTTGCTAAGCAATCATAGAACTCATTTATATTTACATGTACAATTTGTTATCATAAATAAATCATTTTACATTTTTTTGCGTCATAGGTAACTTATATGATTGCTGAAAAGGACAGGTAAAAATTCATTTAATTTATTAACATAGATATTCCAGTAACCATTTGACTAATATTTTTAGTACCATGGTACCACACATCGGCCGTAGGAATAGCCATGACAATGGTTTGGCAAAGCCATACTTTATGGCACAATAAGAATTGCAGTGCTATGAGTACAGTATATTAGTTGTATCTACACTAAGGTTGGTTACATAGGTAGTTTACTGAGCTGTAACTATAAGAAGTATACATTGAAGGTTAATTTATATTGTGTATTTCTGAAAAGCCTTTGAAAGGTCATTTGAAAATGTAATGCTTCAAAATCAAACAATCTCATAACGTATCATATAAACAAATCAGGTTTAACGCTTTATCAAAAATAAATCTATACAAATAGAAAAAAATTTTCAATAAAAATATTATTAATATATTTTGGTAAAAGGCCGTTTTGAACCCCCTTTGTAATGTTAAAAGTTTGCATATTAATCTGAGCAAAGATGATAAATGAATGAAAATCCTTTCTTTCAACAGGCATTTATACAAAATCAATACTTCTTTGATAAAACAAAAACAAAATGTCTAACAAAAACTCTCACAGACTCAGTCAGCAATTACGCAAGCGCTAGGACGCACTAGCTGAGGCCATACGCTCAATTTTTTCAGTGCTGTCACAAACCGAGGACGACTATCAAGCATTTTAATGGATAAAGGTAGGTTGTTCAAAAGACGGCAAGCAGTTACAACAAAGGCCAAGGGCCCTGTCATATGATATACTCCTATCATGAGGTATGCGCTGCGCAACGTAAAAGATGCAGTGCGTGAACTCCTCAAGTTACCTTCGGCTACAAAGCTGAAGTCACCTTCAAAATATTTTGGCAATGTATTTTTTTTGTAATTGACAATGCTAACATGATGATTTTAGTTAGCCTCTGATAGTTCAACTTTAATATTTTTTAGCCCAGTAACTTTAGTTAAAAATGCCGACAAAGACATGAAAGATGTATAAAGATGATTTTTTGCATGTTGATAGGGTATGATAGGAAGGGTGTTTTCTGAAAGTTACCCGAATTTCCCCCCTTGCTTCCCCTTAAAACCCTCCCACCCCCCAACACCAGGTTGAACGAGTAGTGTTTTACTAAATCACTAATATCTTTTGATCTAAACAAGCTATCAGCATAATTTTTTTTCTTTGAAATAACCATTAAATTTACTTAAATAAAACCGTACACGTAGCATTATCTCTTTTGGGTGGGTTTATATCTGTGATATAACAAAAAATATTATTTTAAACGTGAACTAGTAGACTATAGGTCAAACCTTGGTTTTTTCAGTAGGTCTTACGGCAATATGTTCGGAAAGAACTTGTAACCCTTTTTATGAGCTTTCGAAAAATATATAACAATACATATTTTAATTTAAATTGTTACCGAATTAAGCCATTTAAATCCATAATTCAAAACCCAAAACAGCCACTACGCTCACTCAGCACATCATTCCAACCTGCCAAATCTACCCTTCTCCCAATACGCATAGTCATTGCGCCAATGAGGCATTTATTCAAGTTCAGAAACTACTTCAAGTTCAACTTTAGTTCCTCCCTTCATTATCGGGTTAGGTTAAATTCCATTCTGTCTTCCGCCCGATTGCCCGGCTACATGGGGTAGAATAGAATAGAATAGAAACGTCTTTTATTTGAAGCGGTTTTCAGAACATAAATACACTGCTTTTCAAAACAACTCAAGTAAGGTACAAAGTCTGCAATACAATAATAAAAGAGAACAAATAATTTAACAAACCGGGTAGCGTTGGCGCAATCCCGGTGCGTGCAGGCGGACTCTTTTCAACTCTCACATTACTGGCACAATCCCGGTCTACTACGGTGCCAAACGAATAAAATATGGTTATTGATGTTATGTTGTGTGTAGCTGCAGTTATTGATTTTGTGCGTTTATTCTAATGTTTCGAAATGGGTAAATAAATGTTTGACTTGTGGCCACTTAAGCTGGCAAGCGTAGCACAGATGGTTGGGCCAACGTTGGTCAACTGTGGGACAGTTGGTTGATGGTTTGGAGCTTCCAAAACCAACCAACCGTTGTCCAACTGTATTTCTCGTAGTTAGGCCAACCAATATTTACAACTGTGGACCAACATTGGTTCATTATTAATGAAATACATTAATATGCATTGCTGGGTATCACATCAAGCCAACCGTTGTCCAACCGTTTTTTAATCCGTTGGACCAACGATGGTCCATAGTTGAGTTAACACGCATTTCATTCTCTCTCTGGATCTAGCTTTCACAACATAATTATAATGCAAATATTTTTTAATTGATATTCTTTAACTTATTTGCAACAACTTAAGGGGAAAGAGTAATTAATCATATATAATATTTAATTATAATAGCATTAATAATCTAACGGTAATTAAATAATCTATATTCAAATACCAGTATCCTTTCTAACTAAAAAAAAAAAAATAATAACTACTTATGATGCCTTAACAGATTAACAGAATCATATTATACTGTGTAGTATCAAACATGTTTTAAGTAGGTATTGCGACTATTGCAACCGTCGGCTACTCTTTCACCACTTGAAAACTCTCTATATCAACAATCACAGATAGATCAGTGGCTCAAAAGTTGAAAGACCCGGGTTCGAGACCCGTCTGGGCCAAAAAAAATTTGTTATAGCTTTTTTTTCAAAATTTGTTTTTATGAACTATTTAATAAATTTACTCCACTAATAATTATGCTTTTCATACTAAATCTTTATTATTTTGTGTGAAATAAAACGGTTGGTTGGATATCAGTTGTGTTATGGTTAGTTGGCCATCAGTATTTTTGGATGGTTGGGCCATTGTTGGACAATGGTTGGTTGGAAAACAGTTTAAAGAGGTGACATTTCTACTGTTGGCCAACTGTGTGGCTCCACAATTTACCAAAGTTGGCCAAACCATCTGTGCTACATGGGGCACAGATTATTGTAGCCTACAAAAACCTACAAATAATGCAAATTTCGCGGTGATACTGCTGTTTTTAAAAAGCTGTAGGGCATAAGATCTGTGAAAGTTCATTCAGAATGCAGGAAAAACTAAACTCAGCCCACATCCATAAAATCGGCTTCTCTCACAGAGCAGGAAATTGTTAAACAGTGTTCAAGTTGGCTTATGAAAATAGACACCGATGATGGCTTTGACATAACAATTCATTGTCTTTTCTGTGGTAATGGCCCGTTATTTAGATCAAGCACGAAGATCCCCACGAAATAAAGAAAGGTTACTCATGAAGTCATTAATCTTTCTAAAAAAGGAAACAATCAAAATCAGGCCTAGTCAAGAAACGACAAGCACGGTCCATGCTCGTACTCTCTCAAATAGCTGTAGTTCGAGATTTGGTTGCTGTTGGGGCCATGGAAAAAGATTAACAGGGTAAAACTGTAGTCGTGGTTGGAACAGATACAGATTTATTATCACTTCTTGTTTATGGATGTGAGCAATCTCAATCTAAGTATTTAATAAAGCCAGGAGCTGGTGTTTCATAGATATAAAATTTTATTGATCTTCAGCAAAATATAGGAGACATAAAATAAGCCATTTTGTTTTTGCATGCATCAAATGGTTGTGACACTATGTCTGCATTATATAAAAAAAGAAAAAAAGGTCGCATAGAAGCTCTAGAGAACCTCTAAAGATCTTCAATTTTCTTGCCGCTAAGAACTGTAGGCTACAGGGGAGAACTAGAGGACCCATGCTGATCCGCAGCGTTAAAAATAAATATTATATCCTAGAAATTACCAAATTTATGATTTTTGGTTGGGTAATACAGTGCCTTTAACTTAACTAATTTAAACGATCAATAGCTCAAATTAAAACCTACAATTGTTTGATTATTTTGAGTCTAGAACAAAGAAAACAACATACAAAACACTACAGCTATTGATTTTTAATTGTATAAAAACTTTAAGGAAAATAATTTGTATATTATTGTTCAAAATTAGTTGTATAAATTTAAGATAGAATTGCCTAAAAATCTAATTTATGTTTTTTGGTCGAGTAATACAGTAGATAAATATCTCCCGATGCTTTCATGTGAAATCTGTGTATCAATACCTTCAGTTTGGGGCCTCAATCATGAAAATTGGGAAGGCAGAAGAGATAAACGTACTCGGAAAAGAAAAACCAAATTTAACTCCCATAAGAAATACATGTGGAGCAAATTTCGTTTACGCATAAGCTGAGTGAGATTTTAGATAAATATATGCTGATGCTTAATGTGAAATCTGTGAGTCCATACCTTCAATTTGAGATCTCAATAATTAAATCAGTCTACACTTTCAACCTGGTGTTTGTGGGAGGGGGGTTGAGGGGAAGCAAGTGTGGGAAATTCGGGGGAACTTTCAGAAAACACCCTTCCTATCATACACTATCAACATGCAAAAAATCAGCTTTAGATCTTTCATGTCTAGGTTCTAGCCTAAATATTTAGCCTAAAAGTGGCTGGGCTGCGAGCGTTGCAGCACACCAGCAAGGCTTACAGTCATGTCAATGATCACAGAGATGCAGTAAGTGAAGTGGGAAAATACGAGTGTTTTTACAAGGTGGAGCTTTATGTGCAATGGCAAGAAAATTTTAATTTCTTTAATTAATGTATTGACGAGAACACAATCACTGCATCTCCCCAAGTGAGTGTATTGTTGAGAGTCAGTCCTAAGTTTTCCA